GCAGAAAAGGAAAGGTTTTTTGCATCGTGTCGTGGCGATGAAAAGTGGATACACTACGATAACCCTAAGCGTAGAAGATCGTGAGGTAAGCCCGGCCATGCATCAACATCGTCGGCAAAGCCAAATATCCATGGTTCGAAGCTTCTGCTCTGCATTTGGTGGGATCAGCTGGGTGTAGTTTATTATGAGCTGCTCAAACCGAACGAAACCATCACGGGAGATCGCTATCGACTACAATTAATGCGTTTGAGCCGAGCATTGAAGAAAAAACGGCCGCTATACGAGCAGAGACACGACAAAGTGATTTTGCAACATGACAACGCTTGGCCAAATGTTGCACAACCAGTGAAAACCTACTTGGAAACGCTTAAATGGAAAGTTCTACCCCACCCGCCGTATTCACCAGACATTGCTCCTTCCGATTATCACTTGTTCCGATTCATGGCACATGGCTTGGCTGAGCAGCAATTCCATTCTTATGAAGATGCCAAAAAATGGGTCGACTCTTGGATAGCTTCAAAAGACGTGTCGTTTTTCCGACGTGGAATTCAAATGCTGCCAGAAAGATGGAAAAAAGTAGTGGCTAGTGTTACGTCCGACGTAATTCTCTTCAGTTCGATCGAGCGCACCTTCTGTTACCACCAGGAATGCAGTAAATGCCCTGGGTGGTTGATGAACAATGGATTGATAATAAGGTGTCAAAATCTAACTATTGATTATTACTCGCATGTCGTGAGAAGCATCTTTCTCCTTCTACTAATAAAGTGGTGAGAACTCACGCGGGAGTATCTCGCCACCTGCCTATAAAAACGGGTGCGACTGCCCACACAGACCAGACAAAAAGTTCGATAAGACAAACAGTCAGTCATTCAGCCAGTCAATCAATCAGACAATCAATCAATCAATTAATCAATCAGTCAGTCAGTTTTTGAGTAGTAATAGTAGAAGTTTTAGAAAGTCAGTTTCAGATTTTAGCTTTTAATTCAGCAAATCAATCAATTAAAACTCATCACACAAACAATATACATAATTGGATCACTAAGATAAAACATTAAAAATCGTAAATAAGTTATTGGATAGATAAAGGTTTGTTTTCCTAACATATCCCCTGACCAATTCCTAAGCGTCGCGTTACACTTTACTCATATTCCCAAACCTTCACCAACCTCTTAAGTCCGATCCTAAGCTCTTCAGTCTCTCTGTAACTACAGTACGAGAAGGACTTCAAAATAATTTAAAATTACTTAAAAGAAAGAATCAATACAAAAATCAGTAAGTAAAATCATTATTTTATACACACACATAAGTTTACACATTTCCTCACTCACAATCACACGAACTTGTCCATCCTGGGGTAAAGTGGTTAAATCCATTGACCCAAAAAGGACAATAAACACGTTTTAAAAAACAACTAAGCGTGACAATAGCAATGGACAATATTTTCAGTGACATGTTTTTTACGACTTTTTTTAAATAAAGCATTAATTTTCACGAAAAATCAGCGAGAACTTATTCAAGGTCCTAATATGTGCGTACTAATCGGTTATAAATAAATAAAAATTATTTCACAACAATGAGTTCTTTTAATTAAAAATAAATTCTATCTTCTAAATTTCACGAGTGTCATGCTGTGTACTATCACTTCGACTCTTGTCATGACCTTGTCATTACTGGGCATACACATCAGCAGCAATTTCAGTTCTGACAATTGGAGCGTTGCAACTTTATTCGATAAAAAGTGTGCAAACCGATGTGCAATATTCTATACCTGATACGTTCTATCTGATAAATGCTTCGGTATTGCTGACGCATTATGATTACCTAGATAACGATAGTCAATAAATGCTTTTAGTCACAGCAACACGATCAGCTGCATACGTTTCTGGCCGCACATTATTTAATCGAGAAACAGAGATTGTGTACAGAGTAAAGTGACATTTTTATAATTTTACGTTTTGTCTGGTTGAATAAAGAGAGTCATCCGATTGCTGGTAAGCCTGTTTTTCATAAGAATAATTCTACACAGTAATTGCGCGATTACTTGCAGCATTTTTCTTGCAGATTTGCACTCTTTTATAGAACATGTTCGCATGTTGCACACATATTCAGAAATCATCTTATTCAAACTCGCTTGTTTGTAAAACAATTTGTAGATCTTTTTTCGATACACTTTGAAATGCATTCGACGTTTAACAAAAACCTTTCGAAAAAATTTCAAAAAATGTTCGAGATTTACTCAAAATAAATTGGACGTTGGTTGCTTTTTGAAGTATTTCGAAAGAAAAATATGCAAACCTTCCTCCACCCGCCCTTATAGTTCCACAACCGAGTATATAGTTGTAAGATAGCTTAAACATGACGAAATTGACAATTCACTGAACTATCAAAATTGAAAGTTATTACTGTGTTGTGTGCGGATATATGTGTGCATACGCGCGCGTGTGTGTCTCGAGCTTGTCCATTCATTACATTAGCAATTATTATTATTAATTATTATTATTATTATTTAGTAATAATTATATTATTGTTACTATTATTACATAAATCTGTGGGTAATGACTTTCAATTTTATATTTTTATCCCACTTCTCCTTCGTCGTTACAAGTTTAGGTCCTATTCCAATGTCACATGACATATGGAATTACATCCTCCTCACACATAGAATAAGAAAAATAAAAAACATTATATTATAAATAATAATTATTAGATATTAGTACTAACTTTTTTTCAATAATTACTTAATAATAATTTCTTAATAATATAAGTCATTTTTAGACGTAATACTAAATTAATTGTTTTATTTTATGATTTTAATTAGTAAAAGTTGTTTTTAAAAAATGAATAATCCGAAACCAAAATTTTGATTATTACAAAATATTTTTATAGATGTAAAAATTTTAATACAGCGTATACCCTTATCATACTAAGAAATATCATACTAAGAATCATTGATAATTACTTATTATCCAGTATTTTTAATACTGAAAATAAGTAATTATCAATGATTCTTAGTATGATATTTCTATAAGGGTATATAATATATAATATATAATTCCATGGTCTTTCTTTCCCTGCCATTATAAATCGTCACGAAAGTTAATAAATATATCCTCCTCCCTCCTCGTAGTGTAATATAATTGTTGAATGACATTTTATAATAACTACGTGTTGTTCAAAATTTGCTTTTGCATTAAGTAGAAAATGATTATCATTATCTTGTCTTGATATGCTGACAGTTATTTAGGAATATACATTTACTCATTATTAGCTCTAAATTATATACAATTATATTGACAAAAGCGCAACAAATAAAGAGTAATTCTGTTTATAATTATATGATTCTTAT